CAGGAATGAAGAAAGAGAGTGTGGAGCTAGAGTCAAAGGAAAGAATTCTACAAATTTCAAACAACACCTGAAGTGTCATAAAGATGAGTATTAAGTGGAGCAACACTAGAAACTGAGATTTTAAAGACTAACAAGCAATTTCTATAGCCATTCAAGCGATTTAACTAAAATAACTAACTAAATTTGTTAAAACTAATACTAACTATGAGCATGCAAAGATTTAGTTAACTAACTACAAACTAACTAATTTTTTTTTCATTGAAAAAAAACTAACTAGAACTAACTAAAACTCTTGATAAAAGGGCAAAACTAAACTATAAACTAACTAATTTAATAAAAAAGAGGAAAAACTAATAGTTACTAAACTAAAACTAAATTTTGTAACTAAAACAACACTATTGGATACACAATGTATACAGTGATGGCTTCTGATACATGTACACTGCTTATAGTAAAAAGGAAGATTGTGGCCTCTTTGCTGTTATGAAAATACATGTAATAGTTAGAGCTCGATCTGCATGGTCCATTTATTAGTTTTTTATGCGTGGGTTGTGGGGTTAAAATTTTATGGATATAAATGAACCACAACATTGACGAAAATTAATACCCACAGAAATTACCACTGAACCATACAGCATGTACTCATACTCAATGCAACACCTACACTTAGTACTTGCTTTAGTAAATTGCTCAACAACTTATAAAAGGCATGTTTCACTTTCAAAGTAATTTTTATTATCTGTTTTTTATTAATATAATCATAAAATAATCGTATCAATAATAGTATGAAGGTACTCCATTACACTGTGCTATTGAAACTGGTAATGCTAATATTATCAAATTATTAATAATTAAAGGAAATGCTGATGTGAATGCTATGGATAAGGTAAAGTTATTAAATAATCAATTAATTCTAATTGTATCTTTTTGTTTTGTATTTATAGAGGAAGAGAACTCCATTGTTTGAAGCTGTTAAGAGTAGTAGTATTGAAACTGTTGATATTCTATTAACTAATGGAGCTAGAACTGATGTTGTGGATGAAGTACATGTAAGTTTTATTCTATGATACTGTATAATGTTGATTAATTGTACTTTTTGTAATGAATAATAATCATGTTGTTACATTATTGATGTGACCATGACCCAGATTTTTACCTTGACACCCACTGATAAAATTTTATGTCCTAATTACATTTGTACTTTACATGTAACACTTATTCCATTAAGTCAATCTTATAGTATTATGGTACTCCATTACACTATGCTGCTTACAAGGATAAAACTGAAATTATCAAATTATTAATAACCAAAGGAAATGTTGATGTAAATGCTATGAATGAGGTAAAGTGATGAAATTATCATTTCTATTTGTATCATTTTGTGTTGTATTTATAGAACAACAGTACTCCATTGTTTGTTGCTGTTGCTAGTGGTAGCATTGAAGCTGTTGATATTCTGTTAACTAATGGAGCTAGAACTGATATTGTGTCTGAAGGAAGCTTTATTGCTGGCATGTTTGTGAGTAATCAAAAATTAAATTATGACATGCATTGTGTGTGCCTGGTAATGATTATGTTTTTTGTACACAAAATGATTATTTATTGAGTAACTAAGAGGTGGCATCTTTTGACCGTAGATTCATATTCACTAACCCACACACCCATTAATAAAATATTGTACCCATGATTGTTGTGTTCTAGTAACTTAATTTATTTGATATCTCTCTAGTATCACGGTACTCCATTACACTGTGCTAGTGAAACTGGTAATGCTAATATTATCAAATTATTAATAACTAAAGGAAAGGCTGATGTGAATGCTGTGGATAAGGTTATAAGTTATTGAATAATCAATTAATTCTAGTTGTATCATTTTCTGTTGTACATTGTATTTATAGAACAACAGAACTCCATTGTTTGATGCTGTTATTACTGGTAGCATTGAAGCTGTAGATATTTTATTAACTAATGGAGCTAGAACTGATGTTGTATCTGATGGAAGTTCTATTGCTGGCATTTTTGTGAGTGATCAAATATTCAAATGTGACATGCATTGTGTGCGCTTGGTAGCAATCTTGTGTTTCTTGTACACAATTCTTCATTTTGAGCCACTAAGAGGTGGCATCCTTTGACCATTGATTCATATTCATTAACCCACATCAATGAAGTATTGTACCCTTGATTTTTGTTATATACATGTACATGTAGTATCATGGTACTCCATTACACAGTGCTAGTCAAACTGGTAATGCTAATATCATCAAGTTATTAATAGCTAAAGGAAAGGCTGATGTGAATGCTGTGGATAAGGTAAAGTTATTAAATAATCAATTCTAAATATATCATTTTGTGTTGTATTTATAGAGGAAGAGAACTCCATTGTTTGAAGCTGTTAAGAGTGGTAGTATTGAAGCTGTTGATACTCTATTAACTAATGGAGCTAAAACTGATGTTGTGAATGAAGTACAAGTAAGTTTTATTTTATGTTAGCGTATAATGTTGATAAATTGTACTTTTTGTGTAATCAATCATGTTATTACTTGTGCATGAGCAGCATGAATATCAAGTATCTCATTTAATGATTTTAGTTTATAGAATCCATGCAGTGGAGGTAGGACATGGTTGCACCGGCTTTGAGCAATAATTGCAAAATTCAATTGCATTTCATTGGTATGCACTTGATTAAAAATAGCAGCTTTTGATAATTGTATCACAGAACTAGCTTCTACTGCAGAAACTAGAGTGATCTATGACAACCCTTGATAGTTGTTAAAATCGTCATTGTATGGAGAATATTTCTTCTTTGATTATAGACATGAATATAAGAA